AAAAAAGACAGGAAATGATGAAGACAATGTTGCCAGCTAGGTCTTCCTAGAGCTACTAATTTTCTTCATGCAGCCCACTTGTTTACTTTCAGCATCAGAGTGAGAAATGCTCCTCAGAGGCCAGAGAGACAGTAGAGAGGTTTAGGTGCTTGCCCGGCATGTAGACAGAGCTGGTCTCCCAAGCACTGATAGGCATTCCTCCTCCCATGGACGGGAAAGATGCTTCTTAGCGTAGCAGGGCAGAAGTGAAGGTTCAGTGAACCGTGTACTTATTTTGCATGCTGGAGAACCAGATTCCATCCCTACTACCTCAATGTCCCTCAAACAGAGAGCCAGAAATTCCCTCCCCCCCCCCAAAAAAAATCACACCAGTAACAGGCATTTTTGCTTTGTTTTGTTTTCTCTTTTGGACCACACACAGTTGTACTCAGGACTCACTTTTGGTGGTGCTCACAGAACCATATGTGGTTCCGGGAACTGAATGAGCATTGGTCTGATGCAAGGCAAGCACCTTTACCCCTCTACTATCTCTCTTGCCTAGATATTCTTTTATAATTTTCTTGGTTTTGGACCCATACCTGCAGGGCTCAAGCGATACTCCTGTCTCAGTGCTTATGGGTCACTCCTGATGGTCACCCCCATAAGGAGCCATGTATATGATGCCAATAACAGAACCCAGGGTTACAGCATGCGAAGTACGTGCTCCAGTCCTTGAAGTCATCTCTTCCAACCCCACTTTGATATGACTGAATGTGTGTGGTGGGGAAAAAGGTTTCTGTGTTTACTGCACACCAAGAAGGACACACAGAACTTACTTAATTCCCACAACCACCTGGAGAATGGATTCTTATTTTTCCAGAAAAAGAAAATAAAAATTAATAGCCAGAATCTGGAAACAACCTCAGTGCCCAGGAACAGGTGAATGGATAAAGAAACTATGGCACATCTACACAACGGAATATTATGCAGCTTTTTGGAAAAATGAAGTCATAAAATTTGCCTATAAATGGATGGACATGAAGAGAATCATGCTGAGTGAAATGAATCAGAAGGAGGGGTACAGATATAAAATGTCTGCATTCATTTTTGGTATTTAAAAAATATATAGTAGAAGACTAATATCCATGGTCAAGGAAAACAGGGACTAGGAGGAGTGGTCCATGGTTGGGATCAACCACAAGTGTGTGTAGGGTGGAGGGTAGGTAAGACAGAGAAGGGACCATTATGACAATGATAGCTAATAGCTAGAAATGATCGCTCTAGACAATAGCTGTGTGCTAAAGGGATAGACATGATAACCTTTCAGTAACTATATTGCAAACCACAATGCTCAAAAGGAGAGAGAGAGAGAGAGAGAGACAGAGAGAGACAGAGACAGAGACAGTGAGAGAGAGAGAGAGAGAGAGAGAAGAAAAGTGCCTGCCCTAGAGGTAGGTTGGGGGTGGGGTGGGGTGGGGAGGTGATGGGAGGGAAACTGGGGACACTGATTACTGGTGCTGGGAAAAGCACACTGGTGAACGGGCGGATGTTGGAAAACTGTATCACTAAACCTAACCATGAACAGCTTTGTAAGGATCTATCTCACAGTGATTCAATTTAAAAAAAAAAAAATTTGTTAAAGATAAAAGTGAGCCCAGAGGGACAGAGCATTAGCACAGCAGGTAGGTACTGCCTTGCACAGGGATGATGCAGGTTTGATCCCCCAACATCCCTTACGGTCCCCCAAACCCACCAGAAGTGATCCTTGGGCACAAAGCCAGGATTAAGCCCTGAGACCCACCAAGTGTGGCCTCCCACCAAAGTGAGCCCAGCACCACGCCTGCCTGCCTCCCCTCACTTCCACTCCTGCTACTCATCCACACCCAAAGCTGGTCATAATGATAATGAAATAACTCGAAAGAACAAATGTCCGAAGGAAAGTCAAGAGTTCATGCAAAGTTGCCCAGAATCCAGGACCCCGCGACTGAGCTTTGCTCCCTCCCTTTTCCTTAGTCAGCTCTGCCAGGGGTCTTGCCGAGAGTGATCTTACTTGAAGGAGGCTGATGCCAGTCATTAGGACTGGTATGGAACTTTAGAGGAGCCGGAAAAAAAGTATGGTCGAAGTGACATCTGCACTTGTTTGTTCATTGTAGCACTCTTTACAATGGCCAGAATCTGGAAAAAACCCGAGTGCCCAAGAACAGATGACTGGTTAAAGAAACTTTGGTACATCTACACTATGGAATACTATGCAGCTGTTAGAAAAGATGAAGTCATAAACTTTGCATATAAGTGGATCAACGTGGAAAGTATCATGCTAAGTGAAATGAGTCAAAAAGAGAGAGACAGACATAGAAAGATTGCACTCATCTGTGGATTATAAAGTAGCAGAACGGGAGACTAGCACCCAAGAATAGTAGAGGTAAGTACCAGGAGGTTTGCTCCATGGCTTGGAAGCTGGCCTCACATGCTGGAGGAAAAGACAGCACAGGTAGAGAAGGGAACACCAAGTAAAATATGGTTGGAGGGCCCGCTCTGGATGGGAAATGCGTGCTGAAAGTAGACTATAGACCGAACACAATGGCCACTCAATGCCTCTATTGCAAACCACAACATCCAAAAGGAGAGAGAGAACAAAAGGGAGAGGTGGGGTTGGGGGGATGGGATGGGGTGGTGAAAGGGATACTGGGACCCGTGGTGGTGGAAAATGGGCACTGGTGGAGGGAAGGGTACTCAAGCATTGTATGACTGAAACACAAGCATGAAAGTTTGTAAATCTGTAACTGCATCTCACGGTGATTCACTAATAAAAAAATTTCACAGTCACGGTCCTTCCGTTATTCATCAATTTGCTCAAGCAGGCCCTGTAACGTCTCCATCATGAGACTTGTTACTGTGTTTGGCATATTGAATACGTCACGGGTAGCTTGCCAGGCTTTGCCGTGCAGGCAAGATACTCTCGGTAGTTTGCCAGGCTCTCCGAGAGGGGCGGAGCTATCGAACCCGGCTCAGCCGGGCTGGCTGCACACAAGGCAAACACCCTACCGCTGTGCTATCGCTCTTAAAAAAAAAAAAAAAGAGTGGGTACAGGCAGGACTGTTTACAGCTGCAAGTGAGGCAATGGACATGATGCTCCCCTCCTGCCACAGATTCTCCACATCCCCAAGCAGCCGACAGGTCTGTTGTCCACACAGCAACCCAAGGCCAGCTCCTCAGACAGTGCGACCCGTGTGCACCCACCGAGACTGAAACTGCTGTCCCCATTGAAGAAGTCCTTATAACGTTCATGGGGCTGGGGATAGAGTACAACAGAGAGGGAGGGCACTCGCCTTGCATGCGGTGACTCGGGTTCAATCCCTGGTACCCAATATGGTCCCCTGATCACTTGTCCATGAGTGATCCCTGAGCACAGAGCCCAGAGTAGGTTCTTTGGGTGAGTGCCCCCTCCCCCAATAAAAAGGTCCTTATAAAGACCCACCGCAGGGATGCAGCAGCTTATGGGCAAGCCTGATCAGTCCATTGGGTTGGAACCATGATGAACCCAGTCTCAGCTTTGGCAGCAAATGTGTTGCTCTTTCAGAGACTAGCTCCTCTCAGTCACAAGAAACATTTATTCCACTGACTTCTTCCACTCAGCCTAATAAAGGAAATAGCTTCTGTCTCTTTCTTGGATGCAAGTTGGTGTTAGGATTTTTTTAATTGAATACTAGAGCAATAACTTAAAGGTCCGAGTGTATGCAGGAGGCCCACATTTGATCCCGGGCACCACATGGTCCCCCTGAGCACTGCTTGGTGTGGCGCAAAACCAAAAAAAATAATAATAATAATACTGCATTATGTCTTTTTTTTCTTTTTTGCTTTTTGTGTCACACCCAGCAGTGCACAGAGGTTACTCCTGGCTCATGCACTCAGGAATTACTCCTGGCAGTGCTCAGGGGACCATATGGGATGCTGGGAACCAAACCAGGGTCAGCCACATGCAAGGCAAATGCCCTACCCGCTGTGCTATCACTCCAGCCCCTGCATTATATCATTTTTAAGTTCAAGTATGCATCTTTTAAAAAATCAACTTGTTGGGTCACAGAGATAATAAAGTGGGGAGGGCACTTCCCTTGCATGCAAACCAACCCAGATTGAATTCGCAGCATCACATATGATTTCCTAAACCCCACCAGGAGTGATTCATGAGCAAAGAGCCAGGAGTAAGTCCTGAGCTCACATCCTCCTTACCCCCAAATCAAAATCAACTTGTGGGAACCAGAGAAATAGTAGAACAAGTAAGGAGTTTACCTAGCATACAGTCGACCCAGTACCTCATATGCTCCCTGGTACCTCATATGCTCCCCCTGAGCATTGCCAGGAGTGATCTCTGAGCTCTAACGGGTATGTTCCCAAACCTTCTCCCTTCACAATAAGGTAAAGGTAAAGGTAAAGGCCCTCCCGTTGATCGTCGATTTGCTCGAGCGGGCCCAGTAACGTCTCCATTGGAGACTTTGTTGTTACTGTGTCTGGCATATTGAATACTCTCGGTAGCTTGCCGGGCTCTCCGAGAGGGGCGGAGGAATCGAACTCGGGTCGGCCATGTTGGCCGCTTGTAAGGCGAATGCCTTACCGCTGTGCTATCGCTCCAGCCCAATAAAGCTGACCAATTTTACCCCAGTTACCCACTTTCCATCCTCCACATTTCATTACCACATTTCATACTCCTCCCCTTCTGTGAACTACTAATTGGTCTTATAGTTGGATTATTTTTTACTATCTCAGGTATCAAAAGCTGGCTTGGCATTCCTTCTCTAGCAAGAAGTGACTGTGTTTTTTTTTTTTTAAGTTCTTTCTTTGCTCCCAGGCTACAGAAATCTCACAAGCAGCATTCAAGAAGAACCTCCAAGAAAGTTGAGAAAAATAAATAGAACAAAAAAATCTAAAGCCAGAACCTCACATTCCTTCCTTCCCCCAACTCCTGCTCTCCCCAGCCCTGTTGCCCCTCTACTGCCCCACCCCCATCCAATGCCCAGCTCTACCTTGGGTGTCTCTGGGTCCTGGTCCAGCTCCAATGGCCCTGCTGGCCGTCGGGGTAGGGGAGGCCCTCCTTCGGACATCTGCCTCTTCCCCGAACTCTTACAGAAGGAATTTCATTTTATAAACGAAGAAGCTGCAACTCCCCCCAGACCCTTATAACAACAACATTCTTATCTCCTGGACAGTATCCGGGAGGCAGAAAACCCCCTTCAGAGAAGAAGGCTGCTTTTCAGGCCAAAAAAAAAAAAAAAAAAAGGAGGAAGAGGTGGAAGAAGAAAAGGAGAAGGATTAAATTTGTAATTTTTAGTACAAATCAGTTATGGGAATGAAATAGACAAAGAAAGAAAAAGAGGGGGGGACTGAGGACAGACTATACTGCAAGTAGGGCGATTGGTTGCACATAGGTTATCTAGGTTCAATCCCAGCACCCACATGATCCACTGAGCCCCGGCAGGAGTGCTCCCTGAGTGTAGGGCCAGGAGTGAGCCCTACACTGTGTGTGACATATGGGGGGGGGGGGGGGGAGGGAGAGAATAGGAATTCATTTTCACTAAATGTCTACAGTTTAACCCTGTATTAAATGGACCCAGAAAAGCCTGTAGAAAACCACACCCCAAGAGGTATAAGGAAGCTATTCTCCCTGGGAAAGAGATACCTCAGTACCTACAGGCTTGCTTCCCTAAGGGAAGCTCTATAGAATACGTACACAATGGCAGGCATCCTTCTCTTTTTACCAAGACTGGTATATAAGTCTTGCTTTGTGTAAGATTCCTTTTTTTCTTGCTTTATAAAAATCATCAGTCTCTTATCTGGCATATAGATTTTCAAAATTGTCAATAAAATAAAATACCTATGAAAGTTGGGGGCACTGCTCTGTTTTGTACTAAGTAAAGCATTTCTCATCAAATCAAAATACTAAGCCAGAGAGATAGCACGGAAGTTAAGAAGCTTGCCTTGAACCCCAGGTTTATCTCCAATACTGCAAATAATGCCTCATATGGTCCCCTGAGCACTGACAGAAGTGATTCCTGAACACAAAGCCAGGAGAGAGTAAACCCTGAGCACTACTAGGTATGCCCCTGCGCGCGCGCGCACACACACACACACACAGAGAGAGAGAGAGAAAGGAAGAAAAAGATATCAAAATCCTAGTCATGCACATACAACTGTTTAAAACATCTTTTAAATTCAGTGTTGGCTAACTTCAGCCCAATAGTTGACCAACTCTAACAGAAACGGTCATCCTAGGACACTGATATCCAAGTTTTAAAGATAACTCATCAGTGAAGGGAGCAGCAGTGGTCCATTTGGGCTGACTACTTAGCTTCCACATCTGGGATTCCCACCGCTGAACACCAAGTTGAGCCCCTTGTCACAGAGGCCAGACTAGTGTGTATCTTCTGACTTTACACCAAAGTAGTCAAGTAACTTTCAGCCCTGTGCACAGACTTCTCCAAAGCAACAGGATGGTTCCAGGGCCCTCTGGGAAGCTATATCCCCAATCACCTAGCAAGCCTGAGCATCAAAACCCTTCTCAACCATTCAATGCATTCCCACCGCCAATCATGGATTCAATCTCTGGGATTCTGGTGTCAGATCATAGAGAAGGTTCCGTTCTATGACCAGACCTATGGAAACATTCCTATCTCCTGCTTTAACTCCATTCCTAACTCTGCCTTCTCTCAGCATAAACACACCATAAACAAAACCATAAATACACACATACACACACACACACACACACACACACACACACACACAACCTTGCCTTGGACCAGGCAACTCATTTCCAGGCAAAGGTCTCCTACCTGAGCTGCACACCAGTACAGGGGGCGTCCTGGCTGGTGGGGACCCACAAGCACACTGCCCTGGGGAGCCTCATGGCTGCTATTTACAGAGGCCACCACGGTCCCAAGCACGAGGGAAGAGCAGGGCTGTCAGACTGCCCAGCAAATCAGGCCAGGCCAGGGTCCTGTTATCTGCAATGGTTTCCTGTTTGAGATACATCCGCTGTCCTGCTACTAGGACGAGGAGTGTGGGAATGCAGGGATATGGCAGGGGCAGGCGGGGCTCTTGGAGATGCCCCTTCTAAGTACCTCCTTCCCCATTCTTCTATCTTTGCTGTCTGCTTTCCTCTTTTCTTTGTGTAATTAAGCACTGAAGAGTGTGAAAACACAGGGGGGAAAAAAAGGATGCCCATTATCCCCTAGTATCATATCAAATGAAAATAAACACAATAGACACATCTTCTTTCCGGTTTTGTTTTGTTTTTTTTTTTTTCTGTGTGAGATTTCACTGCAAATGTTCTGGTAATTCTAGTGGAGACCTAAGTCACAGGGAACCGGCAAACCCCCTGCACTCACTGGTCTCATGAAAATTCAATACAGGCCAAAATCTCACCCAGGGGAGATCCATCTTGTGTGTGGCCTCTCCTAAAATGTGCGAAAAAGCTTTTGAAAGCTTCTTCTCAAAAGAGATATGGGGCCAGAAAGATAGTACAGAACGTAGGGCACTTGCCTTGCACGTGGCCAATCTTGGTTAGATTCCTGGCATCCCAAATAGTCTTCCAAGCACTGCCGAAAGTAATTCCTGAGTGCAAAGCAAAGAGAAACCCCTTGGTATCACCAGGTGTTGCCATGAAACCCAAATAAATAAATAATAAAAAGAGTTATGGGGTTGGGGATTGATAGTACAGTAGGGCACTCAGCTTGCATACGGCTCATCAGAGTTTGTTTCCCAGCACTATATTTGGTTCCTTGAACATGCCAGGAGTGATCCTCAACCACAGAGACATGAGCACAGCTGGATGTGGACCCTTCCCACCTCCAAAAGGAAAAAAAAAAACAGCACACACACAAAATAAAATAAAATAAAAATAAAACTGAGCTGGGGATTATGGGGACCATGCACCTTACTTTCTGTGTCATCTCTCTGCCCCCTACATATCTATTTTTAAATCAGCATTAGAGATTGAACTCAGGGCGCCCTGCACATCTAAGGCATGTTCTCTACTGCCCAGGTATTTATTTTCCATTTTATTTTATTTTGTGTGAATGCTTTTGTTTGTTTGTTTGTTTGTTTGTTTGTTTTTGAGGATCACTCCTGGCATGTTCAAGGAACTGAACTGAATAATGTTGGGAAACAAACTCTGATCAGCCACATGCAAGGGGAGTGCCCTAGTGCCCTACTGTGCCTCAAGCCTCAAGCAGTAGAGAACATGAGAGGGCCCTGAGTTCAATCTCTAGTGCTGATTTAAAAACAGATACATAGGGGGCAGAGAGATAACACAGGAAATAAGGTGCATGGTCCCCATAATCTCCATAAGATCATCAGGAGTGATTATAAAGCCAGGAGCAAAGCAAATGGTCTGGTAATATTAATGAAGACCTAAGCCATGGGGAACCAGCACACCCCCTCCACTCACTGAATTAGCTTTGCTAATGATTTTTTAAAGCATAAACACCACAATAATAATAATAATTAATAATAAATAGAATTTTAAAGGTGCATAGAGGGACTGGAGAGATAGTATAGAAGTTAAACACATGCTCTGATATGGCCTACCCCAGTTGGATCCCCAGCACCACATGGTCCTCTAAACACTGCCAAGTGCAGCCGTGGAGGCCCCAAAGCACCACTAGGGTAGTCAAGGTAATTAATCCCTGGGACCACAAGGCCCACCCAGTACCACATTCTCAGGGCTTTGCATTGAACAATTGGCCCAGTAGGCTGAAAAAAATAAATCACAGGGAGTGGCCCCAGGGCAAACTAGCAGAACTTGGGATGCTGTCCCCCAAGAAGAGATACATAAAATTATATGTTCATAAAATGTTATACAGGTAGATATTTTTCACGTTGAAAGAGAAGTCTTAACAAATTACAAAGTAAAAACTGACAGATCTTAGGCTCATCACAAAACCCATGAAAAAAAGAAGGCAATCTTTGTTAGAACAAGGAGACAGCACAAATAAATTTGACAATGTAGATGAAATGGACCATCTCCTGGCAAAATACCAACCACCATAACCAGGCCCCAACATGCAAGTGAGAATTTAATAGCCCCATAACAATAAATGGAATTAAATTTGTAATTTCAAAACTCCCCAAAAGGAAATCTCCAGGCCAAATGGTTTTATGGGAGAATTCTTCCCAACATTTAAAGGAAAATTACCACCAATTCCACATACATTTTCCAGAAAACAAAAAAGGAGAGAAACACTTGCCAATTCATTGTATTAAGACTCTATTATTCTGATACCAACACCAGACAAGAACACTACAAGAGGGGGAAAAAAAAACCCCTAGAAGCCAGTATCTTGGTACACACAAATATAAAAATCTTTAACAAAATATCACAAAAGGCATTGAGATATATATATATATATATATAATTATTTTATAGGGGGCCGAAGCAGTAGTACAGTAGGTAGCACTTTTTGTCTTGCACATGGTCGACCCGGGTTTGATTCCCAGCATTCCATATGGTCCTCTAAGCATCGCCAGATTGGATTGCCAGGAGTAATTCCTGAATGCAGAGCCAGGAGTAACCCCTGTGCATCACATGTGATCCAAAAAGTAAAAAAAAAAAAAAAAAAAAAAAAAAATGGAGTCAAAAATCAACTAATGAGATAGGAAAGTAACTCAAAGAACTAGCATACATGCTCTGGATGTGGGATTCTGAAGTTTAGTCCCCAGCACTGAGCTAAAAGCAACCAATGAACATCGATGGGTGTGGCCCCAAAATCAAACAACAAAATTAATATATACTATCACATGAATATACTAAAGAAGACATATCATATGATCATATTGATTGATGCATAAGAAATCATTTAACAAAATTCAATGCCATTTCATGAGAAAATATAGGAATAGAAGCCTGAAAGATAGTAAAGAGTTTAAGATATTTAACTTGCATTTCAGTGATCCCAGTTTGAATCCCTGGTCCCATATGGTGCCTCAAGCACCATCAGGAATCACTCCTGAGTGCTGAGTGAGGAATAACCCCTGAGCACTGCTGGTGTGTTCCAAAAAAACTGAATAGAATAAAACAAAACTATATATATATATATATATATATATATATATATATAT